TTTTTTATAAAAAAAAAAAAAAAATGGTTAACCATCAATTTCCATCTTAAAAAATAAAATCTATCATCAATTTGTAATTTTGAAACATATGCATTATCAAATTATAAATAAAAAAATCAGCATCATTATATTTTTTATTTAGCCAGGGGAAAGTCAGTCGTACTCGTACCTCCTATAATTCCTTCTATAGTCTCATTTTTATTTAGTACATGATCGATACATAAATTTATATAATCCAATGTTTCTTGTTTATAAGCTTTTATACTTTAATAGTTGATGTCTCGGACAAAAGTATGATGTATATTAAGATATTTTTATTTATTTTCCTTAACAACTATTTTGTAGTTATAAATTGATAGGTTTAGATATCACGGGTTTCTCATACTAGTATATATCTCGTGCGATGCACGGAGGAGCTCATATTTTAAATTTTTTTTAGACTTTATTTTAAATATAATTATTTATATTTTTCACATCTCGTCTATTATGAAAATAAAATAAATACAAAGAATGAAAAATATATATTATTAAACACTTATTTTTATACAATATTTTTTATTTAAGAAATATTATTAAACCTTACGGTTTTGATTTTTTTTTTTAAAATCAATTACCCAATATATGATTGTTAACGTACAAAAATAATGGAAAGAATCCAGACTTTAAAGTAAAGTTATTTTTTTATTATTTTACAAATAAAAATCATCCAAATTTTTTTAATTTCAAAAAAAATTTGGCAAACTTGTTAGAGAGATAATTCCGGTTAGATAAATGATTAATTAGTTAAGATATTATATTAATTATTTATATCATAAAAAAATCAGTTAGATAATGTAGATTAAAAATATAATATTAATTAGTTTGTTATAAATGTGATTATATGAAAATCAAGATAAAATAAAATTTACTCAAAAAATCTGCTTGTGATTTTTTCCTTTAAATGTTTAAATTTAAAAATCTAATAACCAAAATTTAAATTATAAAATTAATTATATTTTATTTCTATTTTTTTCTCCTCCATTATATTTGCTTCCGCTGCTACTTTTCCGGGATCATGCGACTCAACTCATCACAATCACATATTTATTTAGTTTTATCAACTCATTAAAATTACATCTATTAAAATAAATTTTCCGTCGAAACCTTTCACTTTCCTGAAGGAAATATTTTTTAAAAGTTTTGAATCCACATTTTATTAATCGAATATTCAGGTTTTATAAAGAACGATTTGTTTCATAAAATCCTTTAACTTTAAAAATAATCTTGCAACTTATATTAACGAAAGTTAGCTAAATTATTATAGATGTTTTTAGATACTTTTTAATAAATAGCATATAAAATTGTAGGTGTTTAAAAAAAAAGAATAGATAAATTTAATTGTATTTAACATTTTTTGACATATATCTTAGTTTTTTTTATCCATGTTAAAGATGTTAAGAAATTTTCATACAACTCAAACATTCGTCTAATTGTTATTCCTACACCAACGTAATTCTACTCACGATTTTAGGATTGACATGATATATACAAATCTCTTCCAAAATCTAAATCAAATTAAAGAATCAAAAATAGAATTATCCCATGATTTTAGAAATCACGTGAGAAATTAATCCGCAAAACCAAATTTCATGGACGGATATATCAAATTTCACGTTAGCCAAATATTTAAAATAAAATTTGAGGGGAAAATAAATATTTGAGCGAAAAAATGAATTATTTTTTTTGAATTTTTTCATGAGTTTTTCTTAACTGTATTATATAGTAATAGATATGATTTTACTATTTTCAAATTCAAAATTGATAATTGATTATTTTCAGGTTTTGAATTGATACAAATTATTTTTTAAGTTTACAATTGATAGTTAACCTATTTGCGACGTGAAAGTCCTTTAGATGATTACGTTGATGTATTTTCTTTAAAAAAAAGTGAAATGGTATTGATTAATAATGTTGATGTAATTCAAATATAAAATAAGAATTATAAATAAAACAAGTATCCTTCCAAATAAAAGGATTAGAATGAAAAAATCAATTCAAATTGATGATTATTTTTTGACCAATTATTAGTTGGAAATAATAATTGTGATCTACCCATATACAAAAAAGGTGTTATAAATTAATATTTTTGTATCATTTTTTTAGAGGAACATTTGATAGTTGATGGTTGATGAAATTGAAAACCCTTGATAGTGGAATGAAGGAGGCCAACTTCCAATTGTCTGCTGGTAACTTCATGAATTTTACCAACACCTTATGAAAACAATATATATATATATATATATATATATATATATATATATA